GTCTGAGTGGAAATTATATTTTGTTATAATTTGCATTTCTCTGAGTTACTGATAAACTTAAGTATTAGTTAAATGCTTGGCATTTATTTTGTCTTTCCTCTGTAGGTTAACTCCATAGGTTAAGTATGTACACATAAAATCATTATATTAGCCTATTTAAGATGTACATTTTGTATTCCACATTAATATACTTTTTTTAAAAAAACTTGAATATATCTGCATTAGCTAGATTTTAAATAATTTCTCAATTCAACAATGATTTTTACTTTTGTTTTAGCATCGAAACATGATAAATGAACAGCTTTCATGAGAAGAATTGCTATTTGTCTGCTGATGGGATTTTTATATTAGGTCATATGGTTTAGGATACTTTGTATATTTTGTATTAAAATTTACGTTAGCATTGATGAAAAAATCAGTCACCTTTACATTTGAAAATTTGGAAATGGCAATAGCAGTTTTTACGCCAAAAATGTGTATGGCAGTTTTAGGCTTTGTTTTGACAGCTCTTACTTTAAAAACCTAAAATATTTTTTTATAAACACTGTATTGAAGAACAATTATCTCAGGAAGAGGGAATTTTTAAAAATATATTTTATTGAGTTTTTACAGAAAGGAAGGGAGAGAGAGAGTTAGAAACATCGATCAGCTGCCTCCTGCACACCCCCCACTGGGGATGAGCCTGCAATCAAGATACATGTCCTTGACCTGAATCGAACCCGGGACCTTTCAGTCTGCAGGCTGGCCTCTATCCACTGAGCCAAACTGGTTTCAGTGAGGGAATTTTTAAATGGGATTATTTTCATACTTGAGTGTGATGAAATCCTTGATGTCAGTGCGTTATATCTAAAGACCACCAGCTACACACCTGTGGTAAGGAAGGTGACTTACTTCTCACACTGAAGGACCAGTGTACCAGGGAGACCCTGTGGAGTCTCATTACATATCCTGCAGTGGGAACGAGTTTGGCTGGGTGTTTTAGGAGAAGTTATAAAGAATGAGGGGTGTCCTTTAGACTTGATGCTGAGACCTTTCTATGACTGGATAAATAAATCATTTATAGCAAGCGAGGGATGTTTTATATTTTGTGGATTGTTATACAGTGACTCTTTTCATTTAAAAAAATTATAAATTAGTATTGCTCTTCTCTATTTATCATGATCTCAAAGTAATCTGACCTCAAGCTGGTGTTCTATCTGATTGTGTATGTTTCTCCCTCCCTCCACCCCAGCCTGTTTCCTTCTTCCCTCTTCCTCCTCCTTTCCCTCCTTCTCTTTCTCTCCTATCCAGAATCAATAAAAATCGTTTAAAAATAGCCGAAACTGGTTTGGTTCCATGGATAGAGTGTCGGCTTGTGGACTGAAGGGTCCCAGGTTCGATTCCGGTCAAGGGCATGTACCTTGGTTGCGGGCACATCCCCAGTAGGGGGTGTGCAAGAGGCAGCTGATAGATGACTCTCTCTCATCGATGTTTCTAACTCTCTATCCCTCTCTCTTCCTCTCTGTAAAAAATCAATAAAATATGTTTAAAAAAAAAAAAGAGCTCTGGCCAATCAGGACACAGACTTTAAAAAAATTGTTTAAAAATATATGCTTAATTGCAGAATTTTTCTTCCATCCTTCCTCCCTCCCCCCAATCACCCAGGGTACTGACTTAATTATAAAGATGTGAGAGATTTCATTTGGACAAAAACAAGAAAGTTAGCTTTACCTTGTAGCTTTGCCACAGATAACCTTACCCATGTTTAGTGACCTCCTGCACAAACCCTAACCAGGGCCTGGGCCAGGGAGGAGCCTGCAACTGAGGTATAATACCTGCCTTTGTCCGGAATAAAACCCGGGACCCTTATGTCCACCGGCTAATGCTCTATCCACTGAGCCAAACTGGGTAGGACTTAATTTCTTCATTGTATCCTCACTTTGAAGTAGCCCTCTCCCTCTGCTGCCTGTCGCGGTGGAAGCCACCCTACTCCTGCCCTCTTCACTCACTGCAGTTACCTTTGGACTCTGTTCATTCTGCTCTTCCCTTGCTGTGAGTGCCTCCTCTGTGGAGGAGTTTGGTGACATCTTAACATATTTGAAAAGATCTTTTCAAATATGTTAAGATGTCACCAAACTTCTTTCGGAAAGTTCTTTCCCCACCCATTGTAAGTAAAGTAACCCTCAGACTTATTATGGCTTAGCAGACCCTGAAGGACTCCTGCTTGCCTCTGTGATTCATCATGGCTTTTCATCTTGCCACTACTCAACTGGTTGGCCTTTTTTGTTCTTGGAAATAATCACAAATGCATCCTTATCTGGAATCATCAGTCTGCAAGCCTGGCTCCTTCTTCTTTATTCCTTAGAGATCAAACCTATTTCCCTATTTGTAAGTTATCTCTTACAAATTAGCTAAATTAGCTTCATGTACTCTGTCTTACTTTGTTTTATATTATTTGTAGCACTTATCGTTCATTTGTTCGTTCATTCATTCAGCCTATTGTGTGGTCCTCCCTTTCCCATCTCACTTCACTCCCCACTTCACACATAAGCTCTGAGTGGGTGGGAACTTGCATGTCTGTCCATTTCTAAGTGTGCAGCCCCTAAGGAAGTACCTGCCACAAGATAGGGGATTAACAAAGATCTGTTTACTAAATGAATATACTTACAAATGAGTAAAGGAAAAAACAACCAAATGAGTGAATGAGTGAACATTCTATACATATGTCTGTTGACTATTAACAAGAGGAATACTTGTTAGTTTATTATTTAATTGAGGTATAGCTATCTGAATAAAAAGTCAATCTGTTTCTCTGGATATACACCTTAAAATATAATGTTCTTTTGAGCATGGTCTAGGACTATGGTTTAGATGGTATAGCATCATCATGATGTTTTCCTGGTGCTTAGAATAATATTTGATGCATTTCTCTGGAGTGATTCTAATGTAAATATGTTTTCATGTGTAAATGTCACAATCCAATCAGAACTTTGGGAGAGGTGTGAGGTGGGTTGAAAAATAGCCTGAGTGTTAGAAGTTTCCACAGAGTTATAATACTTTATAAATTTGGAGGTATATGTATAAAATACACATGGTTTTATGCCTAATAAGTTTGAAAATAATTATAATTTATTTTTTTGTTTTCTCTACTTTGTATTTCTTGTTGCATTTAGTGTTCGAATTTAAATTACTTCTTTTATATTTCAATTTAAGGACTCCATTTCTACAGACATAATATCAAGGCCTAATGCATAGTGTGTGAATGTTGTTTTGCAGTAGAAGATGAAATGTGGTATTAAAATGTTAGGTGGAGGGAGGAAAACAGGCAGCCTTGATTTGGAATCCCTCCTGTAATTAATACTCCAGTATTAACTTGTCCTTGAGCCTGTTTACTCACCCACAGAGTGGGCATAATACTTGTATTCAGGATTGTGTTGAGAATTCAGCTGATGTGTTTACGTTTGTGGCATGGTGCATGTAGCATTATTAGGTCTGGACAGTCATTAAGTTGAGTCCTTTTTCTCCTTTTTCTGTCAGCAGCAAAAGGAGGTATTTGACTTTCCAAATACAAGATTATTATTCTGTGTAGATAATATAAGTGCATAAAGTGTATAATATTTGACATTTTTTTCTATAATCAATGCTTGACACTGTAATTTGCAAAGAGCATCAATCACAACAAATTCAGTGCTAATAGCAAATGTTTATTGTTGCCATGTGTCAGACACTGTCTTAAACACCCTACATATATTACTAAATTTTAAAATATATTTGTATTGATTTCAGAGAGGAAGGAAGAGGGATAGAGAGAAACATCGATGATGGGAGAGAATCACTGATCAGCTGTCTCCTACACACTGAGGATCAAGCCTGCCACCCAGACCCGTGCCCTGACCAGTAACTGAAACATGACCTCCTGGTTCATAGGTCAATGCTCATCCACTGAGCAATGCTGGCTAACTAATTTATTAATATCACAAAGCCCATGAGACACTAATTCCCATTTTACAGATGAGTAAACTGAGACACAGACTGTTAAATCATAGTGCACATAGACACATCTGGATTTGAGAGATTCTCTACTTTCTTATGCATAAAAAATGATACTAAAAAACTGCTTTCGTTCTTCAGGTAGACTCAGTAATCACTCAGATATATCTTGACATATAAACTTTCCCATTCCCATCTTCTAGCTGTGAGGGACTCTAGTTTTAGGACTTAACATCCATCTTTCTTTGTGCGAAGGAAGGAAGACAAGAGAAACATCCCAGTTTAATGGCTAGTTCTGCTTGAGAGTCATGTTATATGGGCAGCTGTTGATAAAATAATTATAACTTTTTTTCTTTTTTAATGTTGAGAAATCATAATTATTTGGGGTGAAAAACAAAGGGCACACAAAATATAGATTCTTTTAATATGATTTTATGTGGAAGTACTGCTTTTCACACAAATGTGTTTGTTAGCAGGAAGGGTATAAAAGAACTTTATTATACTTAACTGTTTTACGAAGCATGTTTTACTGATATGTCCCAGTGCCCATTAAGCCTCTTTATAGCTTTGATCTTGTTTAGTTTTCCTGCTTTTCATTCCCAGTTCCTCTATGTCATTTATCAGTTTTTAAATATTTGAATGGGAGATCTTTGTTTATCTTAAGATGATTTCTTACCGTTTCTGGCTCAGTAAGCATACAGTAATTTCAGGCCATGAAGACCCCTACTGAAATTTGAAAGACCATGAAGTCTTTGTAGGTGATCTTAAGATAACATTGTTCTTGGCCTTATGATGAACTGTATATGTGTATCAGCTTTGAGACATAATAATTACTTTAAATTTTTTTAGGCTTTGGTTGCATTTAATCTTCTGGCTTGATGAAATGTTAGAGTATAAAGGAAATAAATTTTCCATCTTAAAAATGTTTTATGAAGCTTTTCTCTCCCTGTGGTACTTCCTGATGGCCTGATACTATGTCACGTATAATTGGATTGATACTCAGCCTGAATACTTCTTTCTCTTCTTGGCAGCATGGGGTAACCTTGGAAATGTTCTGAAGAGTCAGAGCAAAATTTCCGAAGCTGAAAGCGCCTATAGAAATGCTTTGTACTACCGTAGCAACATGGCTGACATGCTTTATAATTTGTGAGTATGCATTGCTTTCTCTGCTTTGGTTCATCTTTGAAACCTGCGGTGAGAGGGACTATTGATTTAACTGCTGGAGATGGAGATGATAACTGTTTTTTTTTTTAAATAGTCTTTTCATTAATCATAGACTAGTAGCTGGATGGTATTTGTGATTCTTTGTTATGGGCCACCTCACTGATATTCATGTGTATTGATGTGACACAACTGAGGTACTGTGCCATGTAACAAAAATTGGTTTAAATGCTTTTAAATTTTTTAAAAGTGTGTTCCATTAATACTTAGATGGGTTCATAAAATAAACCTGCTATGGTTGATAATTTATATAATTGATATCTTGACTATTAGTAATAATAGATTTTGTCCTCTATTAAAAAAATTGCTTTCCAGTATATGTAGAACATGTATTAGTGACCAGGATAATGACTCTTCTTTTATTTGCCCCCTCTCCAGTGGTACTAATAATTAGTTTGGGATGATTGGATAATTTAGAATATTTGTGTACACTGGATTAGAAAAATCTCTAGGGGAAAAATTGGTTTTGTTCTTTAAATAAAAAGTCCCTAGGGGTACAGTGAGATGTGGATGAATAAATGCTAATTAACCCAAATCCCTTTTTTGGCCTCTTATATTTATGACACTCTTTTCTTTATAAGTAATGGAAATGTAGTCTAAACTTGCTTAAACACAGAAGAGATTTTATTAACTCCCATAACTGAAAATTCCTGGCGTTAACTAGATGTGGCACAATTAGATCTGAGTGCTTTATTATGTTGTAAGAATTTGTCTTCATTTTGTGGCTCTGGTTCCTCTGGGTTCATTTCTTTCTCTGTAGAACTCTGTCTACTAGTATATCCATTGGGAAGGTGATTCTTATACTGTTATGTGTATAGCATCCTAACTCCTCAGACTCAGATGTGATTGTCTTGGTGTCTCTATTAATCTTGCAAAAAAGATCTTGCTATATCTTCCTTTCTTGGATGAAACACTGGGCAGTGTGGCAGGGGCTGTAAGATACCACTGTTGACAGTGCCACCAAAATTGGAGTGGACTCTAGTGGAGGGGAGGGGAGAGGAGCTTTGTGAAATGAAAGGGAGGGCAGGGGAGGAGAGTGGAGTGGAGTAGAAGGGAAGGGAAGGAAGGGGAGGGGAGGGGAGTAGAGGGGAAGGGAAGTAAAGGGAGGTGAGGGGGAGGGGATTACTAATTCCCTGCTGGAAGGGACCAGGCAGAATAAGATGTCTACTGCTGTGACTAATGAATGCTATGTAATATTGACAATATCAAAGTTATCTCTCAGCTCTAATTTTTAGTATGTATTTATGCCCCAGTTGCATCTAAGTCTTTTGTACTGTCTAAATCTAAAAACACAGATAAAAAGATAAAATAAAAGTTAACAGGAAAAAAGATTTAGATTTTTAACATCAAGCAGACAGGGTGAGCTCAGTTTGATTTCTTGTATATATTTACCTTGTTTTTGCTTTGCTTTATATCTTGATTGTTGAAAGAATTACATATGTCCCCTTTTCCCCCTGCTAGCCGGTCCCCCCACCCCCACCCCAGGCCTTCACCACCCTTGTATCTGTGTCCATGGGTTATGCATATACTGGTATGCATACAAGTTCTTTGCATTTACCTTGTTTTTAACTTCCCAGAACTTCACACTGGGGTTTCAGTCTCATAGCCTGTGGTTTAAATGAGATCAGCATGTGTTGTATGTTGACCTGCACAGATTTAATTTTTTTCTTTTTTTACCTGTAAGGCTTTCAGATGGAGCACATCCTTTCCAGCTTGCACAACCCCTGGTGCTCTCTGCTGTGTTTCATGCTCACCAAATATATCACCATCCTTTTCCCTGAAATTATTTAGTTTACTTTTTTTTTTTCTGGAATAAATATATCTTGATATTTCTACAAAGTCTTTTCCCACATCTCCTCCATCTAAATATTGTGATGTTACTATATTATTGGTTGATAGAATCTTTATTTCATGAAAAATACCTGATCGGCTTGATAAATTTACACAAATGTTCCTCTTATTTATTTATTTACTTTTTGTAGATGAAAGTAATGTTGTCAAAGGGGCAACTTGCCTTGCAGTATGGGTTGAGAGTTTCTTATGGTGTTCATTCTTTGTACATTTTGGGGGAGAAAACAAGCTGAACCATTAGCATCTCTGTTTTTATTTTATTTTTCTCTCTTTTATCCACAGTTCTCTAACTCTTGTGGATACCTGTTGGGAAAAAGTTGAAAGAAAAAAGGAAATGTAACTATTTAGGCTTATTCTTTTCTGAGAAGAGAAATTTATTTTATTTGATAAATTCAATTTACATGTAATCTAAAAGTTTCATGTTTAAAACTCCACTATCTATTGTAGATGCATATATAAACTATGAAAGTATATGTATATACCTTCCCAAGCCCTAATGAAAAATCCTTGTTGGAGAAATGATTGTTAACAAGTAACACAATCAGGTTTTGTTTTTCCCCTCCCACTAAATAGGAAAATCAGCTATGTCATAAATGCCCTAGATAGCTCCATAATATTTTTACTAATATGACAGGGTTATTTTTTTTAAATTACATTTAACTTTTAGCTCAAAGGGAATGGCTTAAATTCCAACAAAAGTGTTGGCAATGATTTCAATGTCTTAGATTTTATAACCCATGTCATTGAGAGAAATCTGATATTCAATAATTATATTTCAGAATAGGGAATTTTTCAATGTTTTTTTTTAAATATATATTTTATTTATTTTTAACAGAGAGAAAGGGAGAGAGAGAGTTAGAAACGTCGATGAGAGAGAAACATCGACCAGCTGCCTCCTGCACACCCCCTACCGGGGATGTGCCCGCAACCAAGGTACATGCCCTTGACCAGAATTGAACCTGGGATCTTTCAGTCTGCAGACCGTCGCTCTACCACTGAGCCAAACCGGCTTCGGCTCAATGTTTTGTTTTGTTTTTAATCAAATATCAATAAAATGCACCAAGATTGGTCTTTTACAACCCATAATATCCTATAGAATAAAGAGGCAATATTCAAATTGACCCTCACACCCTTGCACAAGATGGCCGCCCCCATGTGGTCAAAGATAGCTGCTCCCATTTGGTCAAAGATGGCCACCACAAGATGGCCCACAGGGGAGGATAGTTGTGTGCAATCAGGCCAGCTGGGGAGGGCAGTTAGAGGCAACCAGGCCAGCAGGGGAAGGCAGTTGGGGGTGACCAGGCCAGCAGGGGAGGGTGTTTAGGGGCAACCAGGCTGGTAGGGGAAAGCAGTTGGGTGAAACCAGGCCTGCAGTGGAGGGCAGTTGGGAGGAACCAGCCTGAAGGGGAGGGCAGTTGGTGGCGACCAGGCCTGCAGGAAAGGGCAGTTGGGGATGATAGGCCAACAGGGGTGGGCAATTAGGGGTGACCAGCCTGTAGGGGAGGGCAGTTGGGGATTACTGGGCCAGCAGAGGAGGGCAGTTGGGGGTGATTGGGCCAGCAGAGGAGCAGTTAGTCATAGATCAGGTTGGCATGGGAGTGGTTAGGGGGTGTTCAGGCTAGCAGGCAGGCGAGCAGTTGGGAACCAGCAGTCTCAGTTTGTGAGAGGAATGTCCAACTGCCAGTTTAGGGATTGGGCCTAAACCCGCAGTTGGACATCCCCCGAGAGGTCCCAGATTGGAAAGGGTGGAGGCTGGGCTGAGGAATACCTCTCCCCACTGCTTGCCCCAAGTGCATGACTTTTATGCACAGAGCCTCTAGTTATAAATATATCGTATCATATTTATCTAGGAACAAGCTTTTTCTTTTCTATTTATTTATATAGGTAGGAAGGTTTCTTAAAGACAGTTTAGAGAATATTTTGGGGAAAAATTTCTTTTCAGAAGTATATGCTATTTTTAATACATAATGCTCTCTTATGTATAGAAATTGCTCCTTGTTCTCTTTCAAATCCTGAAAGAAAATGAATTTGCTTTTCTCAATCTTATCAGTAAGTAAACTTAACCTGATAATGCTCCTGTGTGGTAATAGCAGGATTTAATTACTTTTCACATCATCAGTTATAGTTATGTCTCTTAAAGATGCTTATGACCAAAGCCTGAAATTAATGAATATGTATTAGTTGCATGAAATACTCATATTCACTGATGAATTTGAAAGCTTTTGGAAATCATACACTTCTGTTAAATTCTGTACTTTTAATCAGTAACCTAGATTTAAAAAAAACAACAACAACTAATTCAATGTTTATAAAGCTTTGTAAATTATTAAAATTTTTCATAGTTAGAATTTTTTGCTAGGAAGATACATATGACTGTGTAACTGTGCAAAATGCATCCAGAGATGTGGAACAGACTGATCAATCTCAAGGGAAGAGGGGCGGTGGGAAGAGATTAACAAAAGTATTTATATGCATATATGCATAACCCATGGACACAGACAATAGAGCAATGAAAGCCTGGGGAAGGGGGCAGGAGCAGGGTGAAGGTGGTCAGTGAGGGGAAAAGGGGATTTACCTAATAATTTCAACAATCAAGATAAATTAGAAAAAAAAACAAACCCATAATCAATCATTACTAAAGGGAGGTATACCAACATTGACCAACCACAAGATGATTCTAGGAGGTCAGAGAGAATCCTAAATTAGTCCCTGTATATTGAATTTTATGTTTAAATGAAAAAAAAAAAAAGACTAGCACATTTAAAAGCACATCTAAATATTGTTCTATGTCAGGATAGATAAATGATTGGAAAAATTATTAAGTAAATAATAATATAAATGATATTTGGTTATATCTGAAGTTGGGCAATCTTGCTTGATAATATCCTCAAACTTTGAGGACAGTTTCTTTTTTCAGGATTAATATAAAGTTATATATGAGTGGTGCATATAAATGGTTATATATCTTTTTAATAAATGAATGGGATAATATTGATCCTTTTTTCTTAATAGCAATTAATTGAATTACTTTACATATACCAAACACTCTTCTTAATTCTTTACAAATATTATCA